AGTGCAATAGAAACGGTGTAAATTATATTATAAATTCTAATACAATTTACACCGTTTCTATTGCACTCAGCCCATATTACAGTCACATTCTTCTAAACGCATTTATAGCACCAGTTCCAAAAATAAGTATTAAGCGAAGTGTGATTGTATTACAATAGTTATTATATATACAGTCACACTTCTCTTAATGTGTACTCTTGGAACTGGCACTATAAATCCATTTAAAAAAGTATGCATTTATTAGATAATTTTTTTGGATGAGAATAATAAAAAATCAATCAATCGAGTTCTTGTAAAAATTTTGGCAATTAAAGAAGACTACCTGTCAAAATTTGTATATTTTGAATATGAAGGGAGTCAATAACCACAAATGATAATTAAAATTTATACACATATTTTCCTAATATAGCCAAAAGAAAAAAGAAAAATCACATCGCTATTATTTTTGTTATCGTTATTAATGCACTAAATATTCGCACAGATAATAATCCAATAATCGACACGAATTCGGTTATTAACGTTATTTTTAATTTTCTGCTTGCTTCTTAAGAACAATCATTGCACGGAAAATCAGTTTTTTTCTTGGATTCACTCAAAAAAATCACAGTAGAGTTTTTTTTAAAGATATTGCATCAATATATAAAATAGATGCCTTTATTTATCCAACCCCTTTATTCAAGAGTGGTTTAAATAAAAAAAGGTTCTGAAAAATAAGCGTGTACAATATGTCGTGCATAATTTTTAGGTTAAGAAATCAGTGAAGAAATGTCAGTTCAAATAAATATTATTGTTATGTAGTGCAAATCTAAATTACATAAAACCACCTTTGATAACGATAAGAACCAATAATTAACTTGCGATATACTCGCATTATCTTGCATGAGCACAGAATTTTAAATAAATTTTTTCCGTAACTGGGAGATAGCAAAAGAAGTAATGAGAATCGGCTAAATATATTCTATAACGATAATGATAACTTTGATTAAATCGAAAACAAAGCACATTCTTTTTTACAAGGCTCGAAATATGGGGAACCGACAATCAAGACAATCAAAACGAGTCTCCAAACAATTTGTCAAAGATAATTCCAGTACAAGTACTGATGAATATCCGTCAAGTCCAACGGATTTGAGTTTTCGTTATCTTTAATGTATTCCCAGTTGATGAAATTGAAATGAAAAGCAACAAACCATAGCAAAAATTCGCCAATTAAAAGGTGGAAGATTAAAAATACTGGATATTGGGTAAACATATATTGAGTCTTTCATCTTGTAATAACAAACAATCAATCAATCGAGTTCTTGTCAAAATTTTGGCAATTAAAGAAGACTACCTGTCAAAATTTATATACATGTATTTGAATATAGTCAACAAGCACAAATAACAATTAAATTTATGCATAGATTTTCCTTATCTAGTCAAAAAAATCACATTGTCATTATTTTTGTTATCGTCATTAATGCACTAAATATTCGCACAGATAACGATAATAATCCAATAATTGACACGAATTCGGTTATTACGTATCGTTATGTTATTTTTAATCTTCTTACTTCTTAAGAACAATCGTTGCACGGAAAATCAGCTTTTTTCACTCAAAAAAATTACAGTAGTTTATTTCATTAAAGATATCAATTATAAAATAGATGCCGTACGACTTATATTTTGACTTTATTTATCCAACCCCTTTATTCAAGAATGATTTAAATAAAAAAAAGGTTCTGAAATAATAAAAATAAGCGTATACAATATGTCATGCATAATTTTAGGTTGAAGAACTGTCAGTTCAAGTAAATACTATCGCTAGTAGTGCAAATATAATAAATTACATAAAACCACTTTTGATAGAACCAATCGAGAGTTTCTCCGTAACTGGGCGACAGCAAAAATATAAATTGAGCAGATTCTTCTATAACTTCGATTAAATTGAAAACAAAGCAATCATTCTTTAATATCACCAATACACTCTTTTTTTACAAGTCTCGAAATATGGGAAACCGACAATCAAGACAATCAAAACGAGTCTCCAAACAATTTGTCAAAGATAATTCCAGTACAAGTACTGATGAATATCCGCCAAGTCCAACGGATTTGAGTTCTCGTTATCTTTATGTATTCCCAGTTGACGAAAGTGAATCGATACGAAACGAAAAGCAACAAACCATAGCAAAAATTGCATGGCAAGGGAATTTTTCTTCGCCAATTGGAGATCAATTAAAAGGTGGAGGATTAAAAATACTGGATATTGGGTATGCATATATCGAGTCTTCATCTTATAATAACAATGACTTCTATCAGTCTTTAACTCATAATCATTTTAGATGTGGTCCAGGAACATGGGTAAGCGAAATGGCCGAAACATATCCATTATGCTCATTCACGGGTGTCGACATTTCTCCAGTTTACCCCTTAAAAGAACTACCAGAAAATGTTGAATTCATACAAGCTAATATACTTGACGGTCTGCCAATTGAAAGCAGAAAATTCGATTTCGTGGTCATGCATTTTTTGAATGGCTGTTTCACAATGCAACAATGGAAATCAATAATCATTCAAGAAGTTGTTCGTGTTATGAAACCTGGAGCATGGCTTGAATGGATGGAGTGTAATGCATCTTTAAAAAATCAAGGAGAAAATACAAAAAAATTAGTGCAAGCCTGTAAGTTATTCAGACTGATGACTAAAGAATTTTATGTTTATTAAAATGAATCTAATAATTTTCGGTTTTTTTAATAGTCTTGTCGGCATTAAATTCACAAGGTTTAAATCCTTGGATAGTAAATAAAATTCCAAAAATTTTAGATCATTCAGGGATATTTGTAAATAGGCAAAATGGAAAACGAACAGTTACATATGGTTCTGCTGCTGGAAAATGTGGTGAATTAGTAAGCATTTTATTAGTTCATTCAATTTTAAATTATTTTAAATTGATCAGTTAATTAAATTTTATTTCCAGTCTATAGACACCTCTATGAATATATTCCAAGCTATAAGAAAACAAATTATGGAATTCATGAGTATCACGCCTCACGAATACGACCTGCTACTTGATAAAGTACGCGAAGAGATTGAACAATATCAAACGACTATGGATTATTATCGGTTTTGTGCGCAAATAATTGTGGTTGACAATGATTAAATGGGGGATATAAAAACTACATTATTTTTTTAATTCTTTATTTATTGCTTTAATCTCGGGTTAAAAAAGGCCCATCGGTGAAAATGTACAAAATACCCTGTATACATTTTTTATATACTAGTAAATAATTTTCGGAAGGACGTTTTTTTGTAAACCCAATTTATTTATATGTACATAATACATGTTATTTTGACTTTGATACAAGTAGTATTATTAGGTTATAATTTTGATAACAAATAAAAAACGACTTCAAATTTTCAATATACGTATATATAATGTTAAGAATATTTAATTGACACTTAAAATGGAAACAAGATACATATAATAGGCCATATACTGAAAAAAGGTTTGCAGTAATTTAGTTTTACGACTAATATCAGTTCAAAGGTACCTACTTTCATATGACAAACGTCCAATGGGACATTCCCCTATCGTTATGTATAATTGGTTGTACATGATTGGTAAATGTGATTTAAAGTAAAAAACAAATCGATATTTTTGCACAATTTAAAATTTGGTTCGCCATAAAATTCGATTGAATTGTAGAATTCTCTACTTGGAAAGACTACAATGTACTACTGCATGTACAAAGAAAGTTTGCGATAGTAAGAACACACAAAACATCATTACGTGCAAACTTTATTATATCAAATAAAAATCTATTCGTTCTTATCGTTATACATGTAGAATGCATGAATGAAAAAGTTAATTTTTCCTCTCAACGCACAAAAAGAAAACTGTGCATCAAACAAATACTTTAAATGGACTACAAACGATCTATATATCATAAAGATAATGCAAATCCAGCTTTCAAACCATTATCGTTATCTTATCGTTATCATCATGCAAACAAACACAAGTTTCAAATGATTATTGCAGCAAAATAAATTTCACTGTTATCTCTAAAAAAATCTCTTAAGAGATACCTTTAGTTCATTTATAAAAAAAACCAAACTATATAAAATATATGATATAGCGGAAAAAAATATTATTATTGATATTTCAGAGACTTTTAATGTTCGTAATTTTTGGTGTACATGTAAATGCTCAAGTGAAAGCATACCTATTAACGTTAAAGAATTCGTCAGTTTTGCATTTGCGTTATTATACATTATATCATATTACCTATCGATATATGATACTTAGTTTCATGCATGTCTGCCTATGTTTGCGAAATAGTTGGATATGTTTGTTTATAGTTTGCATGCAATTTGTTCTTTTTGTATCTGAGAAGAAGGTAAATTGCACACAGTAACCGTTGATATAACGGACGAATTCGGTTAATTAGTTATATCGACGGTAATTTATTGAACGTGAACCTCAATCTGTTATATCGACAATCACTATGTATCATAATAAATTGACAATGATTACTAATATGTACGTATATATATAATTTATTATGAAATCATGCAAGCTGCAATGTTAAAGTCAGGTTTTTTTCAGCATTTAAATATATGCGCGACATTTATACTTGCAATGATATTTGCAAGTACTGTTTCTATCCCTCGGAAAAAAGGAAATAGCGATTTATAATGCGAGATTTGATAACGATAAATAAAGTATTTTGACAAAGTACAAGTACGAAATTCACACTCAAACCTCGTTATAGAAAAGACTAATTAATACTCTCAGTGCACTATCTAATTCTTTTGTTGTATAAATGAAAATTATAAGTTTGGTTTTTTTTGCGTGTGCGTAAGTGAATAAAAATAAAAATTGAATTTTTTGAATTTGTCTGCTTGATGAGGACATTGATCAGTTTCATTATTGCGTAAACATTTATTTATTTAATCAAGTTACTCTTGATTTTGAAAGGACAACTGATTTGAAAAATGACAATTTCTAATCAAAAATATTGTTTATTGAATAGGTATTTTCGATTTTCGTGCATTTGCTAAATTAATATTTTTGTGATTTTTTAAAATTTAATATAAATATATTGTAATATAGCTTTTTGCAAGAAAAATCACGAGATGTGTCGAGCTTTGTAATCTATTTTTATTAGTGGAGTCACTCTGTTGTGCATAACCCTAAATAATAAATAATGAATTTCCATGCGCACCAACATCGCTCTATCATGTGGTCTTTCTTGAGGCACGTGAGTTTCGTTGCTCCGGACGCAATCTTTTTTTTAGCCACCCACACAATAAATTTAAGAAAATATCCACATCACAGTCGCATTTATCAAGGGTATTGACACTGAGGGAAGAGCCAACTTCATTACGAAATAAATCCGTGTACAATTTCAGTGTCGTACGTCAGAAACAGAAGTGATTCAAGTGGACAGTGGATGTATGCTATGTCATCCTTGAAGACATTAAGATATGGACCTCAGGTTGCATCATCACTATCATCGTATGTAAATGGCACATTCAGCAAACAACATACCAACTCCTACAAAAGGAATCGAGATAGATGCCACGGTCCAGGTTAGTCCTTCCACTATTGCCAACACTATACCAATAACTATTGGAGCGATAATATAGAACACATGTTTAAGCCTATTAAACAACTTATCTGCTATTACTGTTATTAACAACATGCAAAAATTGTACTCCAAAGATGACACATATTTGAATTAAGCTAAAATCTTTTCCAGGTTTGTACTGTCCCCTGTCATAAAACCTTGATCACGGTCTCGTTTTTAGAGTAGCTCCAGACATTACCACCGATGATGGAAAGTAGGCTGATCATAGCGAAAATGAGACTGATGTCGCTATTAAAAAAATCAACCAAAGCTAACATTTAAAATATATAATCTCAGTGAAAATCTTAATAGCAGATGCATGTCATCTAAGCAAACATACCGGGTTTTTCTTTTCTAGCTCAATTGTTTCCAATAAAGCGAGTTTCCCCTGGTTGCTGAGAGTGTTATATATTCTTCGTTGGTCCTACTCAAACTGTCACAGATTTTTTGCCGTTGAAGATCTAGAGTTAGACCGGGAACACCAGTAGCAGGGGCACCAGTAGTAGAGGTCGACATTTTTTATGAGAGTGAAACAGCTTTGACGAAAGATGCATGTGATCTCGTGGGAAAAGGTGACTCATGAGATCTGATTTACACATGATTAACAAAGGTAACGTGTGAACAACTGGTCTCGTGATCGAAAGTTTCGGAGATTGCGATAATTCGTTTCAAGACAAAAAGCGCAACAGAAATGTAGTAAGTATGCTTTGTGGTGAGAATAATCAAAATTATAATTTATTACAAGATTCTGAGGATCCTTAAAGATAAGACTCAAGTTGCCATGCTTATAGATACTTAGATTATACGAAATGACAAAAAACAGGACATTTGCCGACAACTATCTCTATGGTATTGTTACAACTGGTAGGTACAGCACGATGAATTTTACTTGCATAGTCTGTTACATTACTCAAAATTTTTTGTAAGAATTGGCACTGCTATATAGTCCTGAGCAGATTTCGCAAGGCTGTACACCATTGAATTAATCGAAGATGCTCTAAAAGAGGATCTAAAAGAGGATCCAAAAGAATATTACGCATTGCGTAAGAGTGTGAAAAAGATATTGGATTATCATGGATTTGTTAAAGAATAGGGCGTGTGTGGAAAAAATTTCCAGTTATCAAGAAAGTTAGGATCGAGAGTTACTGCACCAAAAAATGATGTAATTTGGTCCTTATTGATAAAGCTGGATTTTTCATGCAAGTCTCATGGTTTTGCAAATCAAGGGAAAAAATAAATAAATTTATATCCTGATTAGTGACTTGTGTATAATCAAATTTCTTTATAGTTTATCATATAAAAATCTATTATAATTACTCTTTTTCAAGAACCAGTTATAATGAAAGCATCTTGTTATAAGCATATTAATTATAAAATCTCACTATAAGCACTTTATAAAAAAATTTACTATTAAATCTGATAGTATAATTATATTATCAGAAAAATTTTGAGAATGCAGTTTTGTACAGATCTTTAAATCTGAAATTTTGCTCAAATCTTTGAATTTAGTGACAATTTGTAATGAAAAATATATATATAATTCAATACAGATCTGTGAAATCAAATATATTTAAATTGCATATTTTTTTTACAAAAACTTGTATAACAAATAATTTGAATAGCAATATATAATATAATTCATATATTAAAAACTAATAAAATATAGTTTAAAAATAACAAAGAAAATTTATTGTAAAATATTATAATAATAAAATAATAAAATATATAATTTTTAATATATATATAGTTAATACAAAAAGTAATAATGAATATATTTTTTGTTTATAACTTAATAAGAAATTTGATATTATATTCTTTAGAATAATGATATTATAATTCAAATAATTTATAATATAGTTATTTTATTGATAATTAATTACTTTTATTATATTTAATATTTTTAATAATTTAATTAATTTAATTATTTATTATTTAATTATTTAATCTATTATATTCTTATTAGATAAATTTGAAATTATGTGACTTTTATGTGTAATATATAATTTTAATATATAATTTTAATATGTGACTTATATATATATATGATTTTATATGTGATTTATTATATATTATTAATTATTTATTATTATTTTAATTAATTTTATAATTTATAATTTTATAATTTATAATTTTATAATTTTTATATATTTTATATGTTTTATTATATTTATTTTATTTAATCAAAATATTTAGTTCAATATATTTATATATAATAAAAATTTATTATAAATAAAAAAATAATTAACACTTTAAAAAAGGTATTGATTGATCAAGATACAACTAGTAAAATAACTTGTTCTATAAATTACTGTATCAAATTAAATAAATTTAAAATTTAATTATATTTCTTTATAATTAATATCTTGTATATAATTATATTAATTTATTTAACTTGTTTTTAATCACATTATTAAGAATATAAAATACACTTAGAATTTAATTATACTAAGAAGATCCACAACATTTTTTAGTAATAATAATAGTAATAATAGTAATAAAGGATAATTATTAGCTAATAAATTCATGTTATAATTGAGTTTAACTATCTTAATATAATATTAATTTAGTACTAAATTCTTTAAAAACTTATTCATAACAACAAAAACAAAATTTTCTAAGATCACAAAGCATGTTAATATAATAATATTTTGTGAAATTACATGTTAAAGATGACAAGCTGGAGGATTATCCTGGTTAAAGTATTATAAAAAATTATTTAAAAATATTTTTTATAAGCAAGTATAAAAATAATTTTATAGAAATATATTTTTTTATTTAAAAAAATTTTTAGTTAATATTTATTGAATAAATACCAGTCAAAAAAAGACTTAATATTAATAAATTTTATAATAAAATATAATAAAAATAATATTTTTACTATATTTTACTATATTTTATTATAAAATTTATTAAAATTTAATTAATATTTATTCAATAAATATTAACTAAAAATTTTTTTAAATTATAAATATATTTTTTATATTTTTAAATATATTTTTATAAAATTATTTTTATACTTGCTTATAAAAAATATTTTTAAATAATTTTTTATAGCTTTTTAACTAGGATAACTTTCAGATTCACCATTTTTAACATGTGATTTTGCAAAAATATTACTATATTAATATGCTTTGTAATCCTAGAAAATTTTGTTTTTGTCATCTTAAAGAATATAATGCTAAATATTTACGATATTTGAGCAATTTTTTTTAAGATATTAATGAATTTTGATAAAAAATATAATTGCTATTACTTTTTGTATTAATTATATATTGTTACCATTTCTGTTGGTTTATTAACTTTCAAGTATAAATCACGTATTCTTCACGTATCTCAATTAAGTGAGAGAGTTATTAAAGATTTTTATGTATTTAAAGTAATTAAAGTTGGGAGAGACTAATTTAATAAAGGTAAATAACGATGTGTTCATTTTGTTGAACTACTAAAATGAGTTCAGAAATCTTCTTTAATATT